GGTCTTGTAGATTAAGACTATAGCGCATGTGCAGTTTCAAACTTCCGAGACGACAAGTCGACAAGTCGATGATACGACAAAACCAAACTGTCGTATCATCGACTTGTCGACTTGTCGTCTCGGAAGTTTAAAACTGCACATGCGCCATAGTCTTAATCTACAAGACCCTTTCTACAACTATTCGCTAAAACACTTATCACACGTGAAAACAATATAATTTCAAAATAAAAAAAGGTTTAGAAAATATATTTTCATAGATCTGTTTTTTTTAAGGTGTTATCTGTCAACCCTCTGGTATAACTACAGACTGCGGAACTAGATGTTCAAATTCGGCATAATCATTACTTTCAAAGACAGGATGGCATGAAATGAAATGAAATGGGGTTTAACGTCCTACTGTTCTCTCCTAAGCTGGGCTAAAGACGACGGGCATACGCCATACAGTGTGCTATGAGGGAATTTTGCCCGGGAAGCGGCGCTACGGCCCGCTCTTATATCGAAATCCAACTGCCAAGGGATCTTTTACGTGCACGCCAATGTGTACACGGGACCTCGGTGTTTCGTCCCATCCGAACGACTAGACAGCTGTCATTGTCAGGCCCTCCGTCCTGCATCACTGACAAGGGGGAACCACGCCGGTAAATCTTGATGAATTTTGTCGGCCAATGCAGGGATCGAACCAATCTGTGAAAAAAGTCGTCTAATATCTCTGTAAAAGATGACTGTTTTCAACACATGCAATCACGTCACGCGGTGTCAATCATTGGACCAATGGCGCGTGCATTGTTTATATAAGACGTAACTGCTTCGGGTAGAATGATGCCTTTTACTCATTTTAATACCCACTTACGCTACATAGGAAATATTTTTTACCTACAAATACTTCAAGTGTCTTTATTTATTTTTCTAATACATAAAAAAAAATGTTTTAGAATTAAATTTGTCGGAGGAATAATGTTAATATTGGGGACTCATTAAGTTGCATCGATGTCATCCTTATCAGAGGCCTAGCGAATATTCATTTCTGATCAGTGTGGGATCGAACACCCGACCTCCAGGCTAGCTAGCCAGCGTCTTGCCCACGTAGCCACGCGATCCTCTGAAAGGATGATACTCTCGGGTGTAAATACATGACCGAACCACTACTGTCATATTGAAGACGGGCATACGCCATACTATGAGCGAAATTTTGCCAGGACAGCGCACTATGGCCTACCATTATATCGAATTCCAACTACCAAGGGATATTTTACGTGCCAGGCCCTCTGTCCAGCACAACTGACAAGACCTCGTCGGAAAATCTGGATGAACTTTCTCGTCCAATGAAGGGATCGAACACCCAGCTTTCGGGTTACCGAACCAACGTCTTACCTGCCTAGACACTGCGACTCCCCCGCAAAATATCAAGCACCAAAAACAATGGATCGAGGCCTAGATGATTACACACTATGATAGCCTCATACGCCCCCCCCCCTCCCCCACGTCTCTTATTTTGTTTTACAAATAATTTCAGAATCAATAAAATGATATCAATGATGTTTGATACGACTGAAAAATAACATGTATAACATTGATTACATATTGAATCCGTATTAGTGATAGCGTAGATTTACTCAATACGTTCTTTCCAATAGATCATCATTTAACTTGAAACAAGGGAAACAGTCGATCGAAGAAAACAGATTTAAAAAAAACAAAAAAAACAGGTTTCAATGTGACAGTAGTGCTTTGGTCATGCATTTACCTCCGAGAGTGCCACCCTTTCTTTGAAAGTAATGATTGTGCCAAATTTGAACAAATTCCATCTAGATTCGCGGCCTGTAGGTAGAGTGTTGACAGATCAAATGTAAAAAAAAAACAAAAACAAAACCCCCAGACCTATAAAAATATATTTTCTTAAACTCTTTTAACTTTGAAATTATATTGTTTTCACATGTGCTAAGTGTTTTAGCGAATATTTATGGAAGGGTCTTGTAGATAAAGACTATAGCGCATGTGCAGTTTTAAACTTCCGAGACGACAAGTCGACAAGTCGATGATACGACAGTTTAGTGTTTTGTCGTACCGTCGTATCATCGACTTGTCGTGGCGATAAGTCGATGATACGACAGCACGACAAAATCGGGTCGATGACACGACAAAATCACGCGATCTTACGACAGTTTGTTCTGTCGTAAGATCGCGTGATTTTGTCGTAAGATCGTGTGATTTTGTCGTGCCGTCGTATCATCGACTTATCGACAAGTCGATGATACGACGGCACGACAAAAAGCGAAACTGTCGTATCATCGACATGTCGACTTGTCGTCTCGGAAGTTTAAAACTGCACAGTGCACATGCGCTATAGTCTTAATCTACAAGACCCTTTCTATAACTATTCACTAAAACACTTAGCACATGTGAAAATAATATAATTTCAAAATTAAAATAGTTTTAGAAAATATATTTTTATAGGTCTGGGGTTTTTTTTACGTTTTATCTGTCAACACTTTACCTACAGGCCGCGAATCTAGATGGACTTTGTTCAAATCTGGCACAATCATTACTTTCAAAGAAAGCATGACACCCACAGATGTAAATGCATGACCGAACCACTACTATCATATTGAAACTTGTTTTTTTAAAATCTTTTTTTCTTCGATCGGCTGCTTCCCTTGTTTTCAAGTTAAATGGTGATCCATTTTGAGTAAATGTATCATTGATACGGATTCAAAATGTAATATTTACTACCCTATGTTGTTTAATCAATTTTAGACACATTAATTTCCAGTCGTATCAAACATCATTGATAGGGACCTACCATTTTATTGATTCCGAAATTATTTGTTAAACAAAATAAGAGGGGGGGGGGTGCGTAGAGGACTTTCGGAGTGTGTTCATAGCTGAAGACAATACTGGGCCTATTTTTAATCATCTAGGCCCCGATCCCATTAGTGATGCCAAACGGATGAATATGAGATAAGGTCAATAACAGCTGCAAATCGCTTTCCTCACCTCATAAAAAACCTCCCCTGCACTTATTGGGATGGCGTGCTACACCAAGCGGTGATTTTATGTGGTCTGATTTGAGGTTTTATATAATCCCCTTCCCACTCTAATAAAATAAATTGGAAATCTTCTGAAATCGCTTCTAAACTATCGCTTCAGTAATCTATAAGTATTGGTGGGTGTCGTACACGAGGCAATGCATACTTGTTCGATACCTACCGACACCACTTCTTATTCAAGGAATTAACATAGCTGACTCACTTTTGTCCTGCTATTATAATTCTAGATTTTTTGAATATAATACCAAATATAATTCAATTTTGGGCGCAAAAAGTTTCATTTTTTTTTAGAAAACGAATCAACGTTTTCCTATTATCTCTTTTGACGAGTCTTATTTATATGTATCTATTTATATGTATCTGATGTAATGGGTACAGCTGTATTTTTGTGACTTGTAGAAAGAGACTAGGACAATAAGTCGACATCTCGACGTTACGATAAAAATAACACGATGATACGACAGAATAAAGTGTCGTATGATTGCGTCAATACTGTCGTGATGTCGTGTTGTCGCGTTATGAAAAGGGCGAGATTTAACATGGCCACTATCAGCCACCATAGTGAAGCAATAATATACACAAAGTTCGCGATGACGTTTGTTGTATGTGGGCGAGAATGCTAACACACAGGTTAAAATGAATTAACACAAACTTGTTGTTAACATCTTACTGGTGTGAATTGCTTGCCTTATCACTCCTGTACTAAAACCGTTTATAATTTGTGAAAGATCGAAAAGTAAACATAAATAATCGAAATTCGTTTCTCAACCCTTTGAAACATTATTATATGATACCATAATCGCACACACAGCTTATATAAGGGTTGTTAAAATTCCATTTTAAGCCTGGCAGCTTAAATTTATATATATTTTGTAATGACCATAATGGCCAGTACTACAGAAAATCACATCAGTTTGAAAGTTATGATTGACAGCAGAATATTTCATAGATTATTTTAACATAATAGAGAAAAACAAGCATTTCATATTCTAAGATAGCTTATAACCGGTTTGTGGTATAAACCGTGATAAAATATACTTGTGGTATAGAATATATCTAAATGGAGATATCAGATATATAAACCACCTGTTAGCCACTTCATACTTTTTCTCATACACCTGTACTGCTTATGACGTCAAGGGATTTTTTTACGTGTATATTGGACCTCGGTTTGTTCGTCCCATCCGAACAACTAGACGCTGTTCCTAGCCAGGCCCCCGTCCTGCACCGCTGGCAAGGGGGGAACACCGCTGGAAATTTCCGAGGAACCTTCTCCGCCAACACCGGGTTCGAACGCCGGATCCTCTGGTTAGTCAGCCAGCCCCTTACTGACTGTGCCACCGCGGATCCCTTGGTAGGTCAAAGGTTAGAACGACATTTTGCTTGAAACAAATTACAATTCTAGACCCGAAGAAACGTCAGAATATAATTTTTGGCCAACAGACTTGGTCTATTTTTAAATAGCATGAGTTTGATTACTGAAATCGGATATATAATATGTTGTAATATAGTTTTAAGACATAATATAAAATACAAGATTACACAGTCTCAAGGTAAACGCTTACATTTATAATATATAAAGGAAATTAAATGGAATTGTTTTCACCAGTCCAAATATCCCGTTGTTAGCTGCATTTTAAGCGGCACAATGTTAACACTGTCTTGGGCTACAAATACCATAGTGTTATGGAATTTTAAAAGAACATGTCTATATTTGCTAAAAGTTTAGAATATTATCAATAAATCCAATACTTGTAATCATTGGCTATCTTTGATTTTCATTGACACGGCGAGGATTAAACAAGAAACACTCACAATACAGGCTTTAATGTAATTCCAAATGAACATGGCTTCAACACATGCCGACTATGTTTTTTTGGTAACTTTATCTGTAGGTGAAAGTTGACTGATGCAGTCTACCATTCTACAGAACCATATTATCATAGCTACTGAATACAGCCAAACACATCAGTCATGGTGCTTCACCATGTAGAAGCCGCCGTTCAGTAACCACCCTTCTCTTCCGTTCTTCGCTGTTTACATGTTTTCGTGGTTTGATCTTTAATCTGTGCAATGTTTACACCGGACAGTTAGCCTTTCGAGAATCTCTTTCGATTCATCTTGGAGAAGGATCAAAGTGTCTGATATCTACATACAACACCATGGCTTACTATTACGACAAAATACGATCAGCCATTAATTTCGGATTTTTTCGGTCAGGATATTATTCTTTCTTTGATCCAGACCAATGCAGGGTAAGCCAATTAAGATTAATTATTTGATTAAAAAGTGAAAGTAAACTTTGCGGTATCAATTATTACTTGGGATATTATGACATGTCTTAGTAGACAAATTACAAAATGATTACTTATGATATTATGACATGTCTGTGTGGACAAATTACGAATTAGCGATGCTAAAGAATTCCTTTGTAGTTTGATTTACTATGTTGATATTTAGAAGAAAATGATTCGTTGAGTTGACAATCCAGTAACACGTTATATACAATGATAATATTACGTTTTTACGTGTGTAATGTTTAATGTTGTGGAACTGTAAAACCCATTGGAATGCTATTGGTAATGGTATTTCAAGACGTAATATTACACCCAACACGTGTTCTCCTAGAAACTATTTTAGTGACGAACACGAGACAGTCGTATGGAACGAATTAGACAAAGACAAATATTAAATACTAAAATTGCTATTTCGTATAGAGCCTTGGGAGTTTCCAAGCCCAGATCTTATTTGTCTGCAGTAAGGCCTGTGGGGCTGACAGGGGAAGCGCTGTGTATTCGTTCGGATGACGCGAAACACCGAGGTCCAACCCTTGGCGATATTGAGAAGACGGAAATGTAGCTATCAGGGGAAAGACTACTTCGTACATTTAACCATGGAAATGAAATAGGGTTTAACGTCCTACTGTTCTGCTCCGATATGGCTAATGAAGACGGGCATATGCCAAACAGTGTGCTATATGAGGGAAATTTTGCCCGGACAGCAGCGCTATACGGCCTACTCGGTTTTTCGTTCCATCCGAACGACTAGACAAAGACAGCTGTCTAATTAATGTTACATACAACCACGACCAGTTGACAACCTTACGACCTAAGTCTACCCGGCCTTCCATTCCAACCACTGGTCCACCCCACACCACACCCAACCCACCCCTCGCGTTTGCCAATGCCGTCACGTATATGCTGCTAATATATAAGTATGTCTGCTGAAAGGTAACAGACACAGCATGATACCTATGTTAAAGAGAATATAAATATCGTGATTTTTATAGCTAAAATAATCTGGATTTGGTAACGTGGGATATTAACCATGTGGCACCAAGCCAGAAGCAGAAGTTAAAAAACTGAATGATGTTGTCATAGACTTCAATTCTCAATTATATACCAAATACTTGTCATTATTTACACATCATAAAAAATTACAAACTATTATATAGGCTAACCATGCTATGATGAACTAATTTACCTTTTAAAGTGAATGCTGAATCGTATGAGTACTAACTACCCAAATATAACGTCAAACTATACATACTAGAAAGTAGCTCAACAACAATTTGGTTCGTAGGAATTCTTATTCTTATATGAATTTTAATGATTATGTAATACAGATAAATCAATATGCAAGCTTCATAAGTTTCGTTAGTTCAAGGATTCTGCTTTTTTCTTCAATGATTTATATTTCATATAAATGACTATATCCACGAGTAATTTAATATAAAAGCGCTTAATAACTTATGCTTTAAAGGGTAGATCAAATTAATGAAGTACATGTATTACATGAAACTAGGAAAATGTGTAAAACCGTATGAAAGAGAACATGTTTGTTTTATTTACTTAATGTCAACATAGACGAAATAATATGGACATGGGTATTGTTCTATTCTGGGTCATAAATTTTGGAGTTCATGTTTTCTTTCCTCGAAGCCAAATATCTAGACCACATGTTTCCTTTATTTTGGCCAAACATTACAATAGCGGGATTTCACTTCTCTTTTCTCAGATTTTTCGTTGTATTCATACATTCTCAAATTATATGATTTAGAGTTTTCTTGAACATAGATAAGATGATGACAACATCATTTAATGTTCCTAATGATATCATACACTGTTAAAATTATTATGTATTTTAACCCTTTTTAACTGGCAGAAATATTACCATCGCAATAACTGTATTTTAACATTGCATATTATTTCACAGTCTGTAATGTAACTTTAAATACCTCTAGCTAGTATATATCCAAGGTAAATTTACATGTCTGTAATCGTGGTGCATGTATAATTACCATGAAGTTAATTTACATAAATTGGTACAATAACATTAAAAAAACATGTTGCGTATTTATGTAATAATACCTCATAACTATTGTAGAATTACATATAATGTAATTTGCCAAGGTAAAATTACTTAAAGGAATGTGTTTCTCCCCGCTTGGCTAATTAGTCCTAGGTTCGATCCTAGCGAACACAGAAAGTTTTGTGGACCTTTTAGCCGAGCATGTAAAACAGCATTCCATAATGAAAAGAAATTAAATGAAATGGGGTTTAATGTCCTACTGTTCTGCTCCTTGTACTGTAAAGGGTAGGTGGCATGACACCGTCCAAGCAAAATGTCCCACGCAACCCAATGTATGGCACATGCCTGTCTTTATTAGACAGTTCGGTGTATTCGGATTTTGAATAATCTATTTCTCTAAAATGAATCGACTAAACTGACTGACAGAACAGTAAATATTTGATATGTGGTCAAAGGGGGAATAACCGATGTAGCCACTATTTGACTGTAAATTTACAATTCTCTGTAAAAATAATATCACAAATGACATTTCTGTAATATACATCTCACATGATGTAAACCTTCATGTGGTTGCATTACTAAATTAAGGTTGATGTAATCTTACAGCTTTCTATTCATAAGCATTTGTATCGTTTTAAATGTAAGAAAACAAACCATGTGATTTGACAAATTCGACACTGTATTTTTACTATAGTTATAACTGTATGTTATACTTATAACAGTGTAATCGTAACTAAGAGAAGGGTTCTAATAGAGAAACGTCAAATATGGGTTTTTCATTCCATAGCTTAAAGTTGTCAAGGGTGTCATGCACAAGGCAGGTAGCTCTTACCCTTTCCTAACACATAATGTCACTTGCCCGTGAAAGCAATAGTGTCCTATGTAGGATTCATATATTTAACAATTCATCTTTACTTTTAAGATAATTTTGGCAATATGTGTATATTATTTTTCTGGATTGTCTGTTCTGTATCATTTTCACACTTCTTGTTCTGTGTCTTTGATAGTTGTGCTGCACTGAATTGCAGCATTTCATACTGTGAAAGCTGGTGTTAGATAATGTTATTTCAGGCACATGTAATCATTTTTATTTTGTTCCAATACATGGTTCAAGTGGTCAGTAATTGTTCATCTCAGTAATCTGTAGAATTACTAAACTTTCAAGACGGAAAAAAGAATAAGGTTTTAATCAATTGCTAACTATGTCAAAATTCATCTTCTTCGGATTTGGAATAATATATTTAATTGTCATCTTTTGCCTTTGCTAGTTGATTTTGATAATGAAATTCCTTGTATAACATCATGGCAGTATTTCTCTGTGTATATACTGTATAAGAACCAACATTAGCTGTGATTATACAAGACTTAAATATAATAAGATAAATATATAGTAGATCTGTTTTACGTTACAAATATAGCCTCGCACCTGTTAATACATAAACAAAGTTAACCTTTGATAAGTTATCTACGTCCTGGTATTATTACCTATAAATTTCAGGTAATTAGCCCCTTAACCTTCATACTCTATATTAAATACGTACATACATGTAATGTAATATTTGACCTCTTAATATCATTAAGTATATTGCTAATTGAAAATGTGTTCACTGCACTAACTGAACAATTTACAAAGAGCTATTATTTGTCATAGATCCCATGGTATTGTCAATGAAATTACAAACTGATGTTTCTACAGTAGACTACATACACGAAACCATTTCTACATGTAACTGACGATGACTTTGTTGTAACCATTGACCCGATATGACCTTGTTAGGCTTTTGAAATCAAAGTCTAAACCTACTGCCCCATTTACCTAACAAACCAGTGTTCTAGCCTTTCTATACGCCCACGTTAAAATGTGGTCGTGTATTGTCTCACGTTAGTCCGTCCGCTCGTCATTCACAATTGCTTATGGGAAATCTACAGACTTACAGTTGATATCCGATTGATTTAAAATTTATATGCAGTATGTAAGGTCATGAGACTACGACGAAGCTTATCGATTTTCAACTATTTCCGATAATTACTGCCAGAGTTATGGCCCTTAATCCATTTGAAAGACATCGTAGACGCTCTATAGAGACAAAAGTTACCACCTGATTGAATCTAAAGGACATGAGATGAAGAGCCCTATTGATGTTCAACGATTTCCGATAATTAACCTGGATCACGTTTGAAAAATCTAGTGGACGCTCTAGATACCAAAGTGGAAACCTAGCTATCTTACTGTTTGTGGAACATCTAATTTAACCTCTCACGTATATTGACACACACTTGCCATTCTTCGATGAATTCTATTTGAATTTATACTCGATTAACCAAGAAAGTAGAAGAATTTATTTAAGAACTGGATAAATGGTCCCGTGAAGAGGCTCACTCTTGGGCAAATCACTAAATACTCTATGAGGGTGGAATAATTCGATTGAAGGCAAACGATATAATATATACATTGATTGATCACATCTTTATCTATGGGCCAATTCATATCTATATACAAAAGAACCCTTGAAAAGTAAATTCCGCTGCAGTGGTGTATTCCACCCAAACAATTCGATATTGGAGTACGTACTCCTAACCCTATATAAGTTATAGGAGAAAGACACTAAGTTAGGCAGGCGATTGTAACATAAGCTTTGGATTGAGACCACGCCTCTTGACCACTCGGTCACGCAACCTCCTGTAAGGTAAAGGAGGGGTTTCTCACCCGCCTTGAAAAGAGTGTTAGTTGACCGTAGATTGATGATTATAATGAGTGATGGTGATAAATTACTAACATAAGTAAAACATAGATAGGTATAATACATATATACCCCTGTCTGTAGAGTGACATAGTAAATACAAGTTGAACTTTTGTGTAGAATTAATATACTTCCCGGTTGACTAGTGTATTTTATGTTAAGATCTACCTTGTACACCATATATGTGTACTTACATTAACTAT